AACCATTCCTCCATTGTGAGTATTGCTAAATCTTTCCATCTTTGTGCATAGAATAATTTTGTTGCAGTTGGCATATACAAAACTAAGTTCCATGACTTTTTTGAAACTATCTGTCCATTAATCTGCAACAAAAAAGCCCTTTCTTGTCTAAATTGTACATTAGTTTAGAATTTCAACTATTTAATACATGCCATCTGCTCTGCCTTATTGGTGAAAAGATTGATCTCTTTCACTTAATAATATACAATGCTTAATTTTTTTCTAGAATGATTGCTATAGTCAGGAATTTTGTTTAAAAAGAGAAATGAAAAAAGATGTTTACGGTTCTCTTTTTCTAGGCTAAGCATGTCCAATTTTCTTTTAAGGTTGTGGATTTGACTTCCTTTGTCATCATACTCAAGCCGCAAGCAGAGTTACAAGTTGGACAGAAAAGAACTTTGGAAACCTCATAAACCTTGAGAATCTTCAAAAGAGGCAAATCTAGATGCACATTATATTAAGCCATTATGTGGCTTGTTTAGGGCCAGTTTGCTGGAATATCAATCAATTTCATTGTTTTATAAGCTATCATATATAGTTTAGTGTAATGTTTAAACTCCATAGTGATTTGTTAACAAATCATGGTTTAAGATGATCAATGTAACAAAAGTAGCTACTAAAACCCCTATCTCTTGTTAAGTCATGTGGCTTAAAAATAATGTATAATATTGAATGGAGGCTTGTTCAACTTCAGAATGAAACAAGCAACCTGAACAAGAATCTCAATTATTCCCGAGACAAGGGAAAAGGGTGATTTCACACACTGTAAATATTTTATCAGATATCTCATATGAGTAGCAATGCATTGTGCAGTAATAGTGTTATACTGGATATTAAACAAAGCTTTACATATTATTGCCAATTGTTATTAAATGCAGACTACATATAACTTTACTTATAATGCTTTTTTCTGCTTTGTAGTTGAGCAGGCATTAGATTCCTATTTAAAAAGCATATAGGCAAATTGTGAGTTTGCTTATTTTCCGAATTCATTCACGTTATTCGTTGACCTTTAGTACAATGTTGTGGGAGGATCAAAGCTGAACATCAAACAGCAGGAGACAATTTCTAAAAATATGTCTATTACAAGGGATACTGTAACACAACACAAAGGGTAGCTTTAAAAAGAGGCATCCATTCCTTTAATCACGGGTGTCTCCATAGTGAAATCAAGGGAAAGTAAATGGGTGATGGAGAAGGCAAAGCATCTACTAGAGATGTCACAGTCAAAAATGTATTTTGACTGGCAAAATAAAAGAGAAGGGAGAACAAGTGGGAGCCATATGGACAGAGAAGGCAGAAAAAGTAGGAGGCAATTAACTGGCCAAGGCAGAGAAACATAGAAATAGTCAAACATAGAAATTCTTGGATTCTCATCTATTGGCCATTAGTTCTTCTTAAACATCTAAGTACTCTTACAAAAACTGCAGAGTTGTACAATTTCCATTTATAATCTAGTTCAGATTCAACAGTTTATTAATGACCTGGTTAAGGCTAGTTATCATACAAATCAAGAGTTTGTGATTTTAATACAATATATAATAAACCGCTCCAAACTCGATTGCAGAAAATAAGACTTCAACAACAGAGTGGCCAATGCCTGGAATGCATTACCTGACACTGTGGTTTCTTCCCCAAACCCCCAAAACTTTAACCTTATACCGTCTGCTATCAACCTCACCGCATTCCTAAGAGGTCTTTAAGGGGTGTGCATAAGTGCACCAGCGTGCCTACCATCCCTGTCCTAATAGTCCCTTGTATTCGTATCCATTTCATGTATTCATAATCATGTTTATACATATCTGTTATCTAATTCATGTTTGACGAAATAAATAAATAAATAAATAAATAAATAAATAAATAAATAAATAAATAAATAAATAAATAAATAAATAAATACTTAACAACAACAAAGGAAGGGGAAGGGACTTTTTTCAAGATTTTTTTAAAACAGTGTTTTATTGGACAAGGATGCCATCAGCAGTGATCTTCAAGGAAGTTATTGAAAATTTTCAGTAATTATTAATGAACAAATTGTGCCATAATACAGAATGTAGACATTTTCTTATGTTGAAATTGATTTCTCCCCGTAATCTTTAAAATCTGAGCAATGTGTACCTTTTGATTTGGGAGAAAAAAATGTGACTCATTGTTATTGTGAGTTAATTATTTTGATGTGGCGAACAAAAACCTAATTCTACCCTACATGGAAACTATGAAGATATTCAGGTAGATGGTGAAGAGGAATGTTATATGTACCTTGGATGGAGAAAAAGGGTTTCAAATGAAAACCTGACTGGTTACCTAAAGGCTTAAAAATGTGAAAATAACAAACTTTCTTACCTCTGTAATTCTTGGATGTTTCCATCCATTCCCCTTTCTAAATTCTTTCCTGTATGAGATTCCATTAATTTCTCTGAACTACTAGATCCTACTGTAGGTGTTGAGTGAATACAACCCTTTCCTACACCTCAGTGGAAATAACCTACCCTACATTCTTCCAACAAATATATCTCCACATTCAACAACATCCTCTAGGAAGGGAGGGAGGGAGGGAGGGAGGAAGGAAGGAAGGAAGGAAGGAAGGAAGGAAGGAAGGAAGGAAGGAAGGAAGGAAGGAAGGAAGGAAGGAAGGCTCCTTTAATTTAACTATATTGGAAACTTATTGTATCCTCTCTTAATACTGTTCTTTCAAGCATAATAAAACAGATAATAAAAATGTAATTCATTTTTCCAGAGATTCTATCTCACAGCAGCTCGGCAATCTATTAAAAATTTGTCTTCATTTTTTTTGGCAAGAGCCTTGTACCTTTTCATCTTTAATTTATGAGTGCAGCATTATAAGTGACATGTCTTATTGCACCAGACTCTTACATTATTTATCAGCCATTGATTGATAGCTCATGCCCACAACCCTCCATGCAATATGCTCATCTAGAGTTGGTGGGAGGGAATAGGACAGGAAGCTTAAATGGCCAGCAGCTGGGGATTTGCACAAGCAGGAAGCATCTGCTCCTTTCCCCCAGCTTAGGGCTCAGTTCTTTCCTCAGACATCTCATGTCAGTTTAGGGGATCGCTGTGCCATAGGTGGGAGTTTTTTTTTGTAGATATTAAGAGCTCACTAGAAATTTCAAGTCCCCAGTTCAGTGGAAAGAATTGTTTTTTGGAGATCATGAAAATTCAATCAGATTGGATAGCCAGGTTTGTGAGGGATGATGGAAAATGTGACCTTACACATCTGGAAGATACACAGTTTAAAAAGACTGCTGATCTCTTACATTGTGGGTCAGCTAAATAAATCTGGGGGAGGGTGAAATAGCCTTTAGATTAATCCTGAAGAGACACGTGACTTAAACCAGGAGAAGAGAAGACATAGAGGAGTTTTGTTCACCCCCTTTCCTTAACAAAGTAAACAGAACTTATAGTTCATTAAATAGAAACAGGAACCATATGTACAAGTGTTCTATCAATCCAAGACCGCAACAGTGTCATATTCAAGAGACAAAAATTATATTCTTTATTTGGAAACAATTTCCTTAGTTAAAACTGCACAAGAGACATGATGATATGGAATACATGTGGATTGCTGCACATAAATATGTTTTAGTTTGATAAAATAAAATTCTACCACAACCTAGCATATAAAGAGAAAATGCACTGATATAAAAATTCCAAAAGGTATTGTAATATTATAAGATTACATCCCAGAGAATGTAGACAGAAGGTTTCATTAAGAGTAAACATAATAAAGAGCACATAGCAACCTTTGACTGAACTTCTGAGCCTCCAACATCAGTGACATTTATAAGGAACCAAAGGTAGGCAATTTTGCTCATATTAAACGATTTGCTATAGAGCAAAAAAGAACTGAAAACTGGATTAAGCACTGACCTTCAACGCCTTTTGGAAAGGCAGTTCTGGCATCAGTACCAGTGAAGCTGCTTATGCATTGTGGTGCCTAAATTAAATTCTTTGGCCCTTCTACTAAAGGGCAAAAACAACCTTTCATTAAAACTGCAAATGCTATTTGATACCAGATTCATACAGTATTCCGTCAAAGGAGTCAGCTATTACCACCTTTGAGTGTTTTCTCTTGAAATACTTCTGTAAAGAGAATTCTGAAGTTTCAGCCACCCATTTTGCATAGATTTTTCAAAATATTTAAGAAGTGCTATTTGACACCTTCACCCAAAGTTTCTTCTAGGATGTGGATATGGTGATTTAGTGCATTTGATCACTATGTGCAAATTGACTGATCTTTGCATTGATCGGTTACGTCTACATGGCAGACAGAAGGAAGTGCCGTAATTGAGCATGGAAATGCTTGCATCCAGGCATTCATACAAATGTTCTGGGCAGACTTGATTAAAGCCATAATTTCAGGATCACAGACTCAGTTCAAGCACATATATGCCTGCATTCTATGGATAATAGTTATACATTCCGTTATGCACCAAAGATTGTCATTTATGTTCTTAAAGCAATTCAAACAAATATTCACTATGAGTAAGAAGAGTTGTGCTCTAAACTGCATTATGAAGATGGGTGAAGAAAAAATTAAGTAATGTCATTCTTATTTTGGAAAAGATTACCACAATGTACAGATAGTCCTCAACTTGCAACAATTGGTTTAGTGACCGTTCAAAGTTACATTTGCACTCAAAAAAGTGCTTTAATACTGTTTTTCAACTTATGACCATTGTACCATCCCCATGGTCACGTGATCAAAATTCAGACACTTGGCAACTAACCCATATTTATGATGGTTGCAGGGTCCCAGGGGTCGTGTGATCATCTTTTGCAAACTTCTGACAAGTAAAGTCAATGGAGAAGCAAAATTCACGTAACAACCATATTACTAACTTAACAACTGCAGTGATTCGCTTAACAAATGCGGCAAGAAAGGTTGTAAAACAGGGCAAAATTCACTTAACAAATGTCTCAGCAACAAACATTTGGGGCTCAATTGTGATTGTAAATCGAGGATTACCTGCCTTATACTTTAGGCCTAGGACAGTGGTTCCCAAACTTGGCATTGTATTATTCTATAGTTGTAATTGTTCTTGTAATTGTGAATCTAGTTATTGAAAATACTACCATAAGCAAAAGATAAGCAATAATCCCTCTTCAAAAACAGTCTAGCAAATGTCTGCATCAGAGTTTTCTATATGGCTTTGTGATATCTACAGATTCAAATATTAAATAGAAGCACATGTTCAGTTTTACAGAGTCAGTCCTCGTTTAGCAACTTCACTGACAGTAACTTTATGATTTACTGAAAAAAATTACTTTATAATTAATCCTCACGTTTATGACTTTTTCAGGCCTGAAAAACAAAGCTGAAGCTGGTCACTTAGTGACTGTTTCATTAAATGACTGGTTTGCTAAACAAGGACAACATGTAGAACTCTAATAGAAAATTCCCTCCATCATACTCACACATGCTTTAACTATGATCAATTAACATGTTACCATGAAACCCCAGTATTTTCTCATATTCATAGTTCACTAATGATGATAATCTACCCCAGTAGATTTAACAGTAGGGCTGCATATATTGTCATCTTTGCAACTGAATGCTTCGTTGGTTGCAAAAAAATACTAATCGCAACAGGAGGCAGAGATGATTATTTATGCAGTCATTTTTGATTGTAAGAACAAATGGTTTGGAGCAAAGCCTTTTTACAATCCCAGGAATACAGGCAGCTCACAAACATGTGCACGTTCTTCATTAAATCATGATGTTTTTATTAGGTGTTGAATAAGAAAGACTTCAGTTGAAGCGAAGGGCAAATTGCTTTTCCATTGAACTGTAGGATTTAAAGTACTCAATGGAGCTCCTTTCCTAAGAATGATCTCATTTTCATGATTCTTAAATATTACATCACAGGGATTACATATGTAGACGCAAACACACTTTCTTTCACACACAACATCTATGCATTACAGCAGAATTATGCATAATAGTTTTGCTTAAAAACTGTCAGCAGGTCTGGTGTCACGCGGAGTCAAGATTGGAATGATTCTGTTTGGATCACAGCAAAAGTACACTGCCAGCTTATTATCTGTTCCTGAATGCAGGAAGGGTATATCGCACACATAAGACTGCCAAGATTTGACAGCCAATAAGAAAGCAGCATGTAAAAGGGATTATATTATTACAAAATGTAACTTTCTCCTTCAGAGTGCTGGTTCATGGGTTCCTCATTGACCTCTTTCAGATGCATACCAGCTTAGTGTGTGGCATCGTTTCTTAAAGTCCCTTATTAAAATAGACAATCTCAATATCAGAATTCTTCTCTCTGATCAAATTCTGGACTTCTTGTTCCAGGCGATTCATCCGCATTGAACTGCAAAAGGAAATATTACACAGTTTATTTGAAAGTACACCTGCTATAGATGTGGCACCAATAACTTAAGAGAATTATGGTTACTGAAACATGTTTTAGAAAATTTGGTTTCTATAGACTTTGACAGAGTTTATTTAATATGCCTTTTGGAGGTGTTATATTACAGGTTCTATAATCTCAAAGCAGCATAGCCCTGTCAAAGACATTAAGTTGGAAACGCTGGTTGAGCCATATATTCAACTTTGTGGCCTTTGGAAAGAAATAATTCTGTTAGATTGGGTAATAGATAGGCACACACAGGCTAACGGTAACAACAGCTCTCTATTAAATGCAACAAGTGAGAACAATCCAGCGAAGGTTGAGTCTGACAGCAGCCCTTTTATAGGGAGCTATCAGACCCTTCAACCAATGAGATTAAACCTCTGTTCCCACCAGAACAGAGGACCTTGGTGGAAACCACTATAGGTGAAGCTAGAATGTAACAAATTCTTTCTGTAAGAAAGGGTAAGAGGGCAAGTAAAGTCAAAATGTCCTACATTAGTCATTTGACTGCATTATTTCAAATATCATTCAATATCCATTTATTTAGTTCATAAACCAGATGGTCTGACCACAATGCAAGAGACAAAATAGGCAGGTTACATACAAAACCGTAAGGACTCCACACTTTTATGACCACAAAAGTGTGAAATTCGATAGTCAGTATGGAATTGTCCATCAGAATGTATAAAATGCCTAGGTTGTTTTTTTTAAAGGCCTTACAGAAGATAACTCTGAACGTTTGCATGTTGGCTTGAAAGTATGAAATGTCAAGAACCAAAGGCTGCCACCGAGGAGAAAATGTGCTTTTTGCCTTCAACCTTCTCTAATTGACAGCGGCTGTTCTTGTCCCTCACTGCTTAGCAGATCCTTCCAGTCTGAGATATCAAGGACTGAATCTGGGATCTTCTCAACACAAAGTTCTATTGCTGAGCTTTATATCCCAGTTCCCAAATCCTTTGGCACTAACTTTTTTTTTTTTTTTGGTAGATTTTATTAATATTTGTAGGCCGCCCTTTTCCCTGAGGGGACTCAGGGCGGCTCACATAAAATCCGGGAGAGGG